TTTCATTGAATAATAGACTTCATGAAGAATACCAACAGCAATGCTAACAATAAAGGAGACGAGAAATAACATTCAAAATATTGGAGGGTGTCAACAGGATTAGAGAAATCGGGTAAATTTAGCAAAGAACTGGTCGAAAGGGCAAGGGATGGAGCACAGGCAAACAGACAAGCTTTGGTGAGGAATAAAATGGCAGCAGGAAGTGCTTGAGCAAGCGCAGATTTAAATCGACTAAAAACTAGCTGCTTGGAACAGCAGTTCATGCTGTTATACCTAAAGCACAAGGAAGGTCTCAAAAACAACTGTGTATTTGTCCTGCTCAGAAGTGAGCTTTTCATATAAGCTTACACTCAAAGCACAATATTTAATCTATCCCACTCAGTTGATCCCTAAAACAAGTATTGTATCATAGCAGAAGGCATAAAAATAATAATACAATACATACAGTACTGGGTAAAACGTACCTGCACTTCAGAGTGGTTCTGGAAGAAGCTACAGGGAGCATCTAGCTGCCCAGAATCAATGACATCACAGCATCCAAACCCCACCAGGAGAGAGTGAATGTTCCCAGGTAGGTCAGAGATGGTTGATTGCATGTCCTTTCACCTGATGCCTCTGTTAACCTAGCAGTAAATAGATACCTAGGAGTTACCAACCATTGTAGGTTGCATACTGGGGAAAGTCAGTAGATGGCCTGGAAGACCCCAATAAACTGATGTACAGTACTGTACAGGCTTACTGTCCCTAACAACAGAAAACCACTAGCAGATTTTCTCTCATCCATAAACAGAGAAAGACAGTCCAGTAGTGTGAATGATGAAAATGTTAAAGGAAAAGATATTTCAGGACATTCAGGGTAAGGCGAGGTACAAGTCTTCACTTTATAAATTATGGCTTCAATAAGTTTAAATTATTAAACTTTCTACTGAAGTAATACAGGCACAATATGAGAACAGATTGCAGAAATGTATAGTAAGAAAAAAAGAATGCAAAGAAGGGGATAGAGCTCACAAAATAGTCATTGATTGAATGGCAGATACAGTCTCACACTTACCCACCACAGGGATGGGTCAAGAAGAATGTGATGGGCTTGAGGCTGGAGATCTGGTGTTAGTGAAGGTATTACCATTAAGGATGGTTCAGGGCAACATCCAGGTGGAAAACTAGTATTTTAATGAGAGCACTAAATACTTGGTGGTTCCTCTGATGCAAAGTATTGCTTAGAAAGGTATTGAGTGAGTGAACAGGCTGGAGTGAATTTTTGTCCAGTATATCACTAGCACCATAACAATACAGCAGGGACATGAAGGAAAAAAATCATGCTGTATTATTGGAAATTATTGCCAAGAAAAAAGTGGTCAGGAAGATGAAGGTGGGGAGGGATGTGGTCAGGGAGGGAGATGAAGGTGGGGAGGGATGTGGTCAGGGAGGGAGATGAAGGTGGGGAGGGGTGAGGACATCATGGAGGGGAAGATGGGGTGCAAGAGGGCAGGAAGGTGGTGATGGGGTAAAGTTGGGGGCTGAGGGTAGGTGGTGTTAGGCGAATGTTGGGGAAAAGTGTGGGAGGTGAGGGTGTTTGGTAAAGGTTGGGGGTGTGGGGGGTGAAGGTGGAGGGTGGGGGTGAAGGTGGGGGTGTGGGGTGAAGGTGGAGGGTGGGGGTATGGGGTGAAGGTGGAGGGTGAAGGTGGAGAATGAGGTGAAGGTGGATGGTGAGGTGAAGGGTGAGGTGAAGGTGGAGGGTGAGGTGAAGGTGGAGAGTGAGGTGAAGGTGGAGAGTGAGGTGAAGGTTGAGAGCGAGGTGACGGTGGAGGGTGAGGTGCAGGTGGAGGGTGAGGTGAAGGTGGAGAGTGAGGTGAAGGTGGAGAGTGAGGTGAAGGTGGAGAGTGAGGTGAAGGTGGAGGGGTGAAGGTGGAGGGGTGAAGGTGGAGGGGTGGAGGAGTGAAGGTGGAGGGGTGAGGTGAAGGTGGAGGGGTGAGGTGAAGGTGGAGAGCGAGGTGATGGTGGAGGGGTGAGGTGAAGGCGACGGGTGAGGTGAAGGTGGCGGGCGAGGTGAAGGTGGAGGGTGAGGTGGAGGTGGAGGGTGAGGTGAAGGTGGAGGGTGAGGTGAAGGTGGAGGGTGAGGTGAAGGTGGAGGGTGAGGTGAAGGTGGAGGGTGAGGTGAAGGTGGAGGGTGAGGTGAAGGTGGTGGGTGGGGTGAAGGTGCGATGTGTGAGGTTCTTGCAGCTATTCAGGGAAACGACATACACTCAATCTTTCTAGAAATGGCACCTGCACTTTCCTCCTAGCAAAACTCTCCATGACTAATATTCTTATGCACAATACACAAAAAAAAAATTGTATGGCACCTGATATTTGTTTGTAACAGATTTTCACTTTATAAATCTGAAGTTAAACTGAAATCATTGACAAATTACTGTGATTTTCCCTGTATCTAAACTTCTTATTAACAACAGCTTCCTTCACAAGAGTCTTCACCCTCAAGTTGCAAAAGACAAACTACTTCCCAAAAGGTTCATTCTAAAATGGAAGGGCATTAATTTACATTTTGGATACAACGAGTAGCATATTAAAGAGGATTAATTTAAAATACTCGGCATTTTGACATTCCTGTTCTTAATGTTAATATTCTTAACATAAATACTATATATTCAAGCAGGAAAACTGCATGAAGCATAAGAAAGTTTTCTTGAGGCGTGATGGAGGCATATGGAGGGCAGACATGCATAGGAAAACATGTAAGGAAACCTTCAGCTGTGTCTGAGGGCACACACACTCATCCAACCACAAGTACACAAATAACATACATCCTGAACCAATAGTACATACATCACCCTATTGAAGATAATGTTACATATCAATATGACGCTAAATTTGTACACACAATTAACATATACATGCTTCAATTTTAAAATGAAACTGCTGCAAGTTAATTTAAGAGCAACTTGTATAACAAATTATATAAATTCATGGTCATTTTTAATACCTGTATTTATACAATAAGGTAAATACTGTATACGGACCAAATAATTGGACATGAATAATATAACCGACATGTAAGAAAAGCTGCTAACAGACCCTACAAGAGAGACAACAAGTAGAGGTTAAAGATGATTTCTTTCCAGTGTAGGACCCCAAGACACAGCACTTGTTCCCAGGCAATTTGGAAGGACTGCATTAAGGTTGGCAAACTGACACTTACACCTAGTCAAACTATCTTTGGCAAAGTTAGTAAAAGTGTCTAACATTAAGGCAGCTCTATGAAGGGGATAATCATTTTATTATATTCATGCTTTACACCCAACAATTATTTCCAAAAATTATTGGGTTAATCAACTGTTAGGGATAACTATTTTACTGTACACCTTGTATCTCTAAAATTGAATATATATACATTTACTGTATTGTTTACATAATGTCCACACCTATCTACTGTATATGTAATTATAATATAAAATGATTAGTGAAGATTCAGAATTCATTTGTGGTGTTGCTTATACTATACAGTATTATCTACATACCATTCACATGCTGTAACTTATTAGCTGTCTCCTATCAATATGTTTAAACAAAATAATAGTCATGGAATGCATAGTACTAACAGCATCTTTACTATTACACCATAAAACCTATACAGTGTTGTATTTTACTGTTTCTAATAAGTTTTTGCACAATCAATATGATTAATACTTTCAAACAATTGTAAATCTTTATTTTATTTGTGACAAGTGTGCATTTTCAAGGCTCAGACATGAACACACTGTTTGGTAACATCGTAGGAAGCTAGTATTTACACACTAGCCACTCCTTAAATGTGTTGGAACAAGCATTCTAAAATGAATGTTCTTTAAGAATTATGAGCATTGTTTACAACTAATGAAGACTTCATTCAACAATAGGGTTTACAATTTATTTTAATAATAGCAGTACTGTACACATTCTGCCCCTTACAACTGAAATGACACAAAACCTAACACCCAGAACAGGTCCATAGAATTACCCAAAGCCACTCAAAGTCTCCTTAAATTACCCAAGAGGAAATATAACATACTAGTATTTGCTTACACTATAATGTTAGTGCTGGATGTAGACCATGACTAAAATAGTTTTACTAAGAAATATAACTGAAAACTGAAACTAGCTGTGGGTGATGGCTATAAAAGTCCACAGGACACTCAAACCTTGAAATTTAATTGCTGTCACCCACCACTAATCTTGGTCTTATTTCATTATATTTCCTAATAAAGCTATGTTTTTGTAATGTTCTACATTCAGCAACATCATTATAGAAAGCAAATACACTATGTCTAATTTATTCTTTACTTACATAATTTAAGGTTTTAGGTGTCTCTGGATAGCCTTAGGTAGCTTTGGATAATTGTATGGATCCCCCCCAAATCAGCCCTCCTGTGGTAAACACCCTTATTTCTAAAAAAAAAAAAAAAAAAAAAAAAAACAGTGTTGAATGTAATGAAATGTCATTTTCTGGGTGAGACCCGGAAGCTCCCCGAAGCTATACTAGTCTGATGTGTATATATTAGACTGTGGCAACAGTCAATCGAGGGAGTTCTAGGCCTACCAGGTACCACAGCCAGAACCTGGCCCTCTCAAGAGAGGCACGAGGAGCAATGGCCTAAAGAAACCCCCGTGTAATTGGAAGCGGTCTTTGTCCGCCACCTACCAGGTCAGGCACCCAGAAAGGTAGGAATTTCAAAAACTACTGCTGGTCAAAAATTGCAAACAGAAAGCCAAAATAGCAAACAGAACTCCCCAATCAAAAACAAGGAAACAAACATGACGTCACCACAACCGCTGCGCATCCCATCTGCGCAACCCCCCTCCCCGGGAGGGGGACGGACGGATCCCAGATTTTCACGCCAGCAACTCTCCTCAGTTCAGAGGCTGAGTATCAAAAACGCCAAACACTGCCAACCGGAGGGAGGGAGGGATGCCGGGATCCTGCGGGTCTCGCCCAGAAAATGTTGTTTCATTACATTCAACGCTCGTTTTCTGTAGAGAGCCCCTTCGGCTCCCCGGAGCTACCTAACCAGAGATGATGAAAAGGGACTCACCCGGGAGGTGGTCGTCACTCGCTCCTCAACTCAAAGTCAAGACCACTGGCCGCAACCTGCGACCCAAGGCTATACATTTTTTTTTCGTTTTTGTTTCGTTTTGCCTGAAACACTGTGTGTGCTAGTGGCTTTACAAGAATGTAAAATAAACTTAATTTCTATGTTCTCTGTTAACCCCCAACGTACCTTCTTGTATATAAATAAATGAATAAAAATAAATACACGCCCGAGAAGGACTAGGAATATTAACAAGGTAATGAGCAGCCAGGACCCTGTTCGACCTCCAAAAGCCCCGTGCTCGAAAGATAGGCCAGGACATATTACCAAAAATAGCAGCCGAACGCTGAACTTACGAATGGCGTGGGCACGGGGATAGACCGCAGGCTGGCTGGACCGAATAATCCTGCGGAAAATTTGGGAGACCTATGCCCTGGAATAAGGAAGAAGAGGAAACTGGTTCAACCCAAAGCACGTCTTCTGCCACAGAGGCCGTGGCGTGCAAATAACGGCGAAGAGCCACAAACCATGATGCACCCCCGGTTGAACCAACCAAGCATCAACAACCCAAGGACCCCTTCAGAAAGCAGCAGACTCGTTTTTCTCCAGAAAAGAAGGAGACGGCTGTAAACGAAGAAAAGACCACAAGACCGAAAGAGCAGAAACCCCTGCGCAGGATGAGAGCATGAATCTCTCCGACCCAAACCCCCCAGAGGCCAATGCCAACAAGAAGAGAGCCGTAGAAAAACAAGCCTGAACCAAGGGGGCCACCACAAACCGAAGAGAAGAGAGCACCCGGTGCAACAACCAGGACGGCTCATGTGTTTGGAGTCAGCTGGGGTGTTTCATGCACCCCTGTTTGCCTCTAGGTAGGAGGTATCTTCATCACTGGTAGGGGCGCAAGGTACTGTGCAGGTAGTTTTCACCATATAACAGCTGCCGGCTCTGTTCCACCTGTGATGATGTACTCATGCAGGGTTTTTCTTTTTATTTTGTTTTCTGCCTGGTGGAGGGTCTGCCCTTGGTGTTATTGACCCTTATCTAATTGTATTATTGGTGGTCCTCTGCTAGGTCCCAGTGTGTACACACATCACAGGGTTCAGCAATTATTAGTTCCCTTGGTAGTTTGGGGCGCCAGTTAGCAATACCTTGCCTGGGCTTCCCTTAGCAGAGCATCTAAGGGCACTGGAAAACCCCACTGGGGCTCAGTGGTCCGATGGATGCATCCCCTGGGTTCCATCTCGTTTTGTGTGAGTTTGAAGGTTGCTCTGTCCTATTGTCTCAGGGTCACATTCATCAGATGTGCCTCTGTCATGCTGCCTGTTGGGTCAGTGACACTTTCAATTCTGAGTCCTGCAAGTGGTGTTGCTTGCTTGTGCTCCAGTTCACCCAATCCACTGATCTTGATACTGTATTCGGGTGCAGGCAGCTTTAGCATTGCATGCACATTTTAGGTTGCTGCAGCACGCTAGATTGGTTGCTCACCCGGATGCTGTGGGACTGCCCTGTTTTAGTTATAGGGATTTGGACTTGGGGGTGTTAGTCGCCTCAACCTTTGTTTCGTCCGAGCCCCCTCGTCCTTCCGCTGCTATTGTTCGTCCTGTTCCCCCTTCCCCTCTAAATCCAAAGTGTCTGAGGGTTTTAAGTCGGGCAGGGTTTAGTTGGTGGTCAGACTCGGGCAGTTTCAGGGAGATGCCACTTCCGGTGTGACGATGGAAGCATTCGAGCCTGTTCCTCCAGCCGGTGCTTCTGGGTCTGACCAGTGGGCTGCCTTCATTCAGGCTTTTACGGCGGCCTCTGCCTATTCTTTCGAGGCGGAGGGTTTGGAGGACGGCTCGGTCCCAGGTTCTGGTGTGGAGGTTCCCGGGGCAGGGGAGGGGCTGACTTGGGAGGGGGGGCCTTGGGCCCCGTTTGACCCTGCTTGAGTTTTGGTACCCTCTGAGCAGGGCTTGTTGTTGCTCTGTCGGTCCTGCACACTTGAGTGGCAAGAGGCCCTTTCAGTGGTTCAGGTTTACCTGGGGAAAGAGTTCGAGTGCCTCAATGCGTGTTTGTTTACCCCTGCCCTTTTGCGGGATGTTGGCTTGGTACAGCTTCACATGCAGGTTCCCTCCCTTTTGGCTGCCCTGGTTGCTAAGGACTTGCACGCCCGTGGCCATTTGGCTTCGGTCTTGCATTTCTTTTTCCTTCTAGAGCTGTCTTCAGACTCGCTCGAGGAGGATGTGGAGGTGCTCAGAGACGATCCTGGGTCCAAGTCTGCGATGATGCAGTATCTGCAAGCAGCAGCTTCTAGTTGCCATCCCATGTCAGACTTGTTGGTTCTCCAGGAAGCCCATGGGTGGGGGGATATCTTCCCGGAAGGGTTGTGCCCTTTCTTTCGTCTTTCATGGTACATCCCATTGATAGGGCGATGGAGGGGGGAGTGGGAACTCGCTCGATGTTTGCTCGTGCCTGGTCCCACAATTTGCGGGTCCGATCGGGTCGTTTCTTGTGGTCTGCGATGGTATTGGGTGGCCCCTCCTCTTTTGGGGGGGTTTGGGACTGGCGGAACAGGCCTCTTTTCCTGCACTGTCGGGTCATCTTGGAGTGGGTTCGCTTGGGCGTGGTCAAAACATCCTCATCCTCAGGTTGGTTTCCCGCTTGTTTTCGGTTTTGAAACGGGCCTGCGTGGACCTGCGGTTCATTGAAGTGCAAAGCCAGGAAAACTATTTAGCACCGAGTTGTTTGATATTCAAAAGATGTTAAATATCACTTGGGATGCATTATATGAGTACAAAAGACATAAGATGAGCAATATCAAAGGAATTGAATTCACCAAGGACTAAAAAGAGGGACAAATGACCCCAAAGGATATTAAAACAGCAAAACTTACAGTAAAATCATCCCAAAATTCTTGACATTCTACTGGGAGGTGCACGACTAAGTGGGACAATGAAATTAGGACATAATGGAGCAGGACATTGTTCTATTAAGTGACTGAGTTAATTGGGTGTGATCAATAAGTAACCAAGCCAAAGCCATTTCTCATCATCTATTATAGTGGTAGGAGGGAAACTAAAAGGAAATATTTTTAAGAGCACGCAGTTCATTAACTGTAATACTAGCCCAACGATCCTGCCAACATTGTGGATTGCAGAATGAATAACTGGGTGGAAACAAATATGAAATCCCCATCTTGGAAATGCTGCAAGCACAAATGGTCTACTTAGTGGCAGTGTCCAACAGTTCATTCAAGGCAACTCCAATGTGGCTAGAAACCCATCAAGCAATATTTGCAAGATCATTAAAGTAAACACCAATATTGCTTAGAACCCCTGCAGAACTTAACTGTCATATCCAAATTATAAGGAACAGCAAATTTTGGATTACAATCACCATTTGATGTAAGGGGTTAAAATACAACAGGGTCATGAAAACACTAAATCAACAAAAATAAACAAATGTTACCTGTAGATTACTCATATATGATTTTGAGTCCTTCTCCTATTGCAGCCTGGTCTGAGGTCAGTCTTCCTTGGTGATTGCCAGATCTGAGATTTTTGTCAATGTAGCCCACATGAAAACATAGCCATCACTGCAAGGTTGATCTGGTAACTCCAGCTAGAACGTACTAAGTTCTCTCTTGAAAGCTTCTACTGTCAATCCAGCAGCATTTCTTATATTTGCTGGAAGGAGACTGAAGAAATGTGGACCTTTAATGTTTACTGGGTTTTCACTGATCATGCTTATGCTGCCTCAACTTTTCATTCGATTTATTTTACACTTCCTATTCTATCTTTCAAGTAAATAAGAACCAGTAATTTCATCAAGTTGATAATAATTTGAGATCATCTACCAATATTTTCTGTCTCTCTCTCTCTTCTCCATTCCAAGGATCACAATTTAAATACTTTCAAGCTGTTCACATTTTCAGTACAGTATTTGCAAGACGTAAAGGATCATTTTATATTTTGTAGCTCTGCTACCTAGCCTACTTTAGAAAGGGAACTGACAACAGACTCTTCAACACTGCCCTATTGTTGCTGTGGCATCCTTTGTATTAAATGTTCTAATCTGCCCTAACATTTTCCTGATTGTTGCTATGTTTGCTTTGGTGTGCTTTCTAATCATTATCTTTTGACATTACTGTATTATTTTAAAATTTTTGACTTAAAAGCTGTTTTCTATGAAGAGATCTTGCCAAGTTATGTATCCTATACTCATTTAAGATTATAGTTCATTCCGTTTCAAAGTAATTGAAATTTATCACCATTAATCATTACTGTTTTATTTTACCCATTGGAAGAGTTTGTAAAATCTGATACGTAGCAATTGTTCAATCATCCATTTTTTTTTTATTTACTGACCCACTCTGCAATCTGTTAAAGCCAATTTAAAATCCACCTCCCTACCACACTTGTTACACTGAACTTTCATTTCATGAGCTATTATTTCATGTTCAAAATTCTTTAATGCTTTAGCAAAAATTCTGTATGCGAGATTTACATTTGAGTTTGCTAATAATACCTTTGTAATTTTTTTGTAATGGTCAAGTATTCATGAAAGACATGATCTTCCTGCTCTAAAATTATGTTGACTTTGCTTGTACAGTTCGTTGCTGCCCAAAAATATAATTGTGTTTTTCAGTCCCATAAAAATCTGAGAAAAAAACAGCCCCAAAATGGAAGTGCCAAAACAAAAGGGTCAAAGTAGATTTCCAAGTTATATGCAAGCTAGAAAAAGTAAACTTGTCAATAAACTGCTGCATTACGAGTCCTTATACAGTACTTGAATGAAAATAAAGAGCACATTTGACCAATACAATCTGCCAGTAAAAATATCTGATACCACCATTGGAAAGGTGACCTTTGGAGAGTATATATTAGGCATTTCACAAAAACAACACATTCAAAATTCATGCACACAGTACAGTACTTATTTTCAACTCGGTATTTATT